TTGACTGAAGACTATATATTTTATATTTTATTAAATCACATTCTGTCTATTATAAATTGTGACGTGGGATGCGAATCAACACGTTGACAGGTGGGTGTTCATTTCATTGAATGAGTAACGTCATATATTCGCTATATCACTGTTTAATACCGGAGGCTATCGATAATTAAGGAAAGCTACGTGGGTGTTATCAAATTTACTGCCAATATACGCGTCGACGTAGGAGGTTAATGTCGCTGAATGGAGTAATTTCTTGTCGTTCCATTACAAAGAGCTATTACCACAGTCTCCGGAATCAGTCGAAGTTGCGAACGTAAATTTAGTTCAGAAACTTGCAGTGCTTGTGGTTGTTATCGATTACGCGTGTACTTAAATTATTAAAGAAACGGTGTCGCGATAAATAAGTATTTTTCTATAATGAAAAAAAAATTTAATTTTTTTTATTAAATTTCAAATTTTCATTTTTGTCTAATTTTTTTTTCGATTAATAAAGAACATTATTTATTTTTTACACAAAATTTCAAATTAATTAATAAATATTTGCTAATTTTCATCGGATAACTGCAGCACCTATTTGATTATATTAAGTCGCTGGAAGGCCAATTTTAAGTATACTTCATTCAAATTGTTAAGAGCTCCATCTCGTGGCTCATTCGTACAGAACATTTCTCGACGTATCGAGCCATCAGCTAATCAAGGGCGATATGATTGACGAGCCCTTAAACGAAATTGGATTAATGCGCATGCAAATTTCGGAGTCTCGAGGGAGTTATCCTAACTAGTCGATAATAATTATTATTAATGATGAAATTAGTGAGCGACCGCGTGTCGTTGATTCAAAACGATTCGTGAAAAATTGAGGAATAAGTATTGTCTATTTGCAAATCTACAAGAGTCGCATAAAAATTTAGATCAGCCATAAATTAATCTATAATTAATGATTCCTACAATGTAATTATATACATGTTTAATTCGTGAGAGAAAACTCAGAGAAGAGAAAGAGATAAAGCAAAATACAAATTTAATGTCAAAATGTTTGATAGACCGAAATAATATTTTCTTATTCAGTAAGTGAGTTTTGTGCTATTGTAATATAATAAATATTCGAAAATATTCAGTTAGCATGTGTATGCTTATAATTCTTCGCGTTTTCTTTTAATGATTTATATACAAACAGAACAATTTTGCTAAAGCACCTATAAAAGATTTTTATAACATGAAAATAATTTTATTAGACCATCAAAATAATTCTATAAGAAATTTAAACGTAATAAGTGTTGTTAAAAAGTTTTGACATTCTATAGTAATCAGCTTGAACGTTTTTTTTTTGCATAATTATTTTGATAATCCAATAAAAATATCTTCAAATTTATATTGAACTAAATTTATAGATATTTGATCAACATATCTTTCTTTCTATATAATAACTAATCTTTACAAGAATATAATTAAAATTTTGTCGATGGGAAAGTGGAAGTTCAATCTTGTATTTATTTAATACTTTATGTGATATCTTTGATAACTTGTTAAGGCAATTGACATATTGGAGAGAATTAATTACGGAACTGTGGAGCTTCCAAACTTCAAAGGATGCGAGTAAAGTATTTCTCGGGACTATTTAGAAATGTAAATGATGGCATGGGTACGACATGCAAACGTCAAATTTTCCAGCCATTTCGTCTGATGTATCTTGTTAGAGATGAAATTGGCGCACGGTCATATATATCGCACAAAGGAACTTCTGCAAAACCGAAGAAACTCCCGCGCCGTTGATTTGTGTACTGCACGCGGAATTCTGCAAAATATACTCTGTACTTCCAGAGCATATTCCTCGGGAAGCTGTTTCCAGAGAAAATCATAGCTCATCACGATTTCAAAGACGTAATCTTAGTTAGCGAACTATTTGCGGGCACATCTTTCTGATTTAATCTTTCGCAGATACTATTATTTACCCTAATTTCTATTTTAGCAATTCAATTAAATTTATTCCAATTTTAGTTAGTTACTGATAGTAATGAAAATGCGAAACTACAAGTCACAAGGATCCCTTTCAATCGTAATTATAATATCTCCATTTAGGTATAGACGATTGCATAAATTTATTATAATGTAATTACTCAAGAGATTATTCATTTACGAAATAAAAATATTCATAAAAATACTTGACATGTAAGTGTTAATAACTTTTACGTATAAAATCTAAGTTTTTTTTAATTCCAAAATAATTATATGCAACATTTACAACGTTTAATAACGTTAAACATTTATTTTCATTAATTTATCCTAATATCCTTCATATTTTTATATTGAAAGATCCAATCTCGAAGAATTGAGATAGCAGTTTGCTTATGTAGGAAAACTTTTTAAAAGAGGATCACCTTTTAGCAGAAACTCGATTATATTATTCTCGCGAGACAGAAAACGAAGGAAATCCGCTCGAGAAGGGCTGGTACAATATAAGCTTGCTATTTCGCCATTCACGAATAGATTTGTTCGGGGTTTCGGAATGAGCTGAGAAATCGTCGCGAACGTTGAATTTTCTTCCATAAAACGCTCCCTAGAGAAGGAAGACGGATGCAACCCCACTCTCTATATGGAGGGTGGAATCGGTTTCTTGGATTTTACGAACTTTCGACCGATAACTTGCTTCTTTACTCTCTGCCTCTTTCTTTCTTTACTTCTCTTCATTCTTTTCCCGACTTTCTTCTCTCACGTTCTCATGTTCCTCACTAAGACGTTTGACGGAACTTAGAATATAAACGAGCCGAAGTCCCTCGTCATCGGTACGTCAACTCGTTGGGTATGGGATGATAGATCGACTCTTTCGACGACATTGTAAAGATATAAATGCATATCTTTGAAAGGATAAACTAGCGGGTTTGCAAGAACGATTTGGTAAAATAACTTCAATTATAAAAACTATAAAAAAAGATTTACAATATGCCCATTAAAAAATTTTTATATAAAAATTTTTATATAAATGTATAATTATGTATAAAATATATCTATATATGTATGTTCTCTTTCTCTTACTTAATCTTTGTCTCTTTTTAATCAGAATCTTTATATATTACAGAAAAAGTAATAATTAAAAACAATAATTGAAAAAA